AACAGGTTTATTAATTTATGCACAGAAATACACTTACCTAATAGGTACATAATATGTTACACAAATGGAATACATTATACATTAGATAATTAAACTTGAAGATCTTTTCCGTTATAGGTATACGGCAGTAGGTAATAGGTGCGTGACCTTTCCGTCCGGCATATATATAGATAATTACAATAGAATAGAAGAATTAAGAAAAAGTTACACAAATTATAAATGGTTCATAGCTTGACCAATGTATCAGCTATGAACCATTTATAATTTGTGTAATTTTTTCTTAATTCTTCTATTTTATTGTAATTATCTAAGCTAAAAAGTATGGAATCCTTCTGTGCAAAACCTGATATGTCCCTTTTTTCAAAAAAGTATTTTTACTGTGGTTTCCTGATCAGGAAATAAACTACACATTTCGGTGTAACAAACCGTTATGTCCGATTATTAGTTATGGAGATAATATAAGCAAAATGGACTTATCAGGTTATTACATTTCAGAGCAAGAACCTGCAGGTATGCACTCCAGTCACACAAGGTTTTTGCTCCGAAACTAATTAATATGTTGGTTATACTAAAAATGACAAATATTATAGAATTTAAACGTTTATTGTTATAATATAAACCTACATGATAATTATGTATTATATTTTGCTTACCTCCAAGAAGTCTTCCATGTTTTTCATTCCATATCCATGGGTAGTTGGATTTTTTCTCCTTGACAATAAGAAAGACACTCCTGCTATACCGATGGAAGCAAAGGAAATTCCTATCAAAAATTCTTTCGAAAAATACATATTTTTACAGAAAATAGAGTTCAACGCGCGCGTACAACAAAATAATATTTTATTGTGACTTGTGAGTACTCTGTTTATTAGTAAACCGTAGTGATGTAAATAAATAACATTATAATATCGTGTTATATTTTGATATTTAAACAATTCAACCAGATAATAAATTATTATTCAATATTATAGTTTAATTTATAAAGTCTTATATTTTTATCGAACTGCGTTCACAAATTATCGTTATGAAAATCTGAATATGCATAAATTACGTCCATGCAGTGACATTGAGTTTAAATTGTCGTTTAAATTATTTACAGTTGAAGAGGGGAGTTATTATTTAAAAAACAGAAGTTTGTTTCGCCACAAGACACATCTCCTTAAGTAACACTTAAAATGTCAAGAATTTATAATTGAGACGCTCGCAGTAGCCAGCGTATACTCAGCCGTACGGCAGGCTCTAACTACTGACTAGATTAGTGTTCTTCATTTGGTGAAGGGCTGGTTGTATAAAGAGTTCGCCGAAATCTCAGGGATTTCTTACTCACATACCACAATTTTTCTTCACTGTGCACTATATGGACCATCACGGGCCGCGCACCGGGGCAGTATCAAAGTCCGGCTAACCGCAAACCCAACACCAACATTTTTTTTGATTTTTTTAGGCCCATTTTTTTCACTCGCCAACGAGTAATGATGTAATATTATACAATTATTATAATTGATGTTATTGTTTATATTTATGACGTAGGTGGTATGTTATGAAGATATCAAGTTTTTGATTGTTGAATTGTGTTTATTAAATACCTATTAATTGTTTGATTATTCTATCATAGTATTAAGAATACTTTTTGATGAAGTACACAGATATATAGAAGCTAAAGGTTTATAATAATAAGATTGGATATTTGTATATATATATATATATATATGATATAATGTATTATACCTATTACCTATATTAGGTAGGTACATTATAATATAGCCATATAGGTACGAGTGTACGACTCTCCCATCTATACAAATTCCTCAGCATCACACACAAATCACAAATCACAATCATATTAAGTTATTAACCCACTACCCCACTCATATCATTATATCAAATCTATTACTCTTCCTGAAATAATAATTTCTTCTATTAGTTCTATTATTATTATAAACTGCATCCAATGGCAACAATTATTATACACAAAAAAAAAATGTCTTATGTGAATCTAAAATTCTTGTCTCACTTCTTTAATCTACGAATTTTGGAAAAACCTTTCTTAGTGAGTAATAATTATATGTTGACTCTTTTTGAGCTGTTTATAGACATTGTCAGTTTTCCATATATTTAGTTTATTTTTCTATAATAGTCAATAAAATTTTATTTGTTGGGTTAAAAAAGAGTGAAAATGTAATACAAGGCTCCTGACATATTGTTAGGTACCTACTTCATCAGTTGAAAAATATTAAAAAACATAGGCACAATTTTTTTTATAAGCAATTAAAGTTTGAATTTTGACAACATTTATCAAATTTAAAATGTAATAATTATTTTGTAGTTAAAAATTTATAAAATGTTAAACTTTTATATTATGAACATTTAAAACAAGGTTTCCCGTAAATAAGTTATATATACATTATTTTACTCACAATAATATCATGAAATATACTTAATAGATAAATATACTATACTTAGTAATATCAGTGGCGTAGCTAGGAGGAGGGTTGTTTTGGGTGTTTAGCTGCATATATTTAAGCATATTTTGACAATTTTGACTGCATATTTCGATAATTTTTAGTGCAACAAGTGAAGTCCCGAACCCTTAATTTATTTATATATGAAAACTGTAAAAACTTGGATGTAATCTATATACTTAAACACCCCCTCCCACCATTTCATAATCCTGGCTACGCCACTGAGTAATATCATAGGTTGACTGACTGTCTTTGCTCAGAATCGTTTTTCTTATACAATGATATTATATCATTCAATTCGAATTTAACACTATCCATTACAGTAACCCACTTGTAACCTACTGTACAGCAGAGCGACATCCACTTGCCCACTTTTTTTTGTTGTTTCAAGGACTTGATTTGACTGTACAAGAAATAGGGCCGAAGGGGTGCAACGTAACCCTGAAGAAATCTCTAATAATGCCAATTATTCATACTATTTTATAATGAGTGCTACAAATAGTTCTGCAGTATTATAGTACATATTAATACTTATAAGTTATATAAGTAGCAATTGTGCAACACGCTTTACTTTATAATTATTATTATTTTTTTTTTTTTATTGGCGAGGGGGTGTTGAGAGTCAGAATAACATTATAATTATGTATTTTGTATTTTATTTTTGGATTATTAAATCGTAGCCAGTCATTTTTTTTCTGTGTCTTTCTGTTTCGTTACAACACCGTTCCTCTTCTGCTACAGGTCTCGAACATGCACACGAAAATAAATAGTCGTTAGACACGTACGCGACGGTTTATTAATGAATACCACTCACTTATGTACTACACATAGATATTTTTTGTGTGTAGATATTTTATTATATACGCAGTTATACGGAATATGTGTATTTGCAAATCACTTGTAGGTACCTCGTCATTTATAAATATATTATAAATATATATGTGCGTTCACGTGCCGTGTAATGTGTGGTTTTTTTTCTCGCATTATAATGTATATTTATCTCCGTGCAAATTGACCGAGACAAACGAAAAGGTGTGGTGCTCATAGTCCATAGCCGAAAATCGGGTACAACTTTTGGGGGAATCTAACATTTATAAATACCCAGTACCTAATACTATGAAAAAAATTGCTTTGCTTATCGCTCGAAAAAACATTGTTACAATTTTACGACGAACAAAATACATATTGTAGGCTTTTTAATTTGTATATGTACATAATATATTATATACTGTCAATAATATCTGTATTTTATAGACTTATAGGTAATATATTGGTATAATAAGGTTTTGACTTCTGAGTGTTTTGAATATTTTCCAAAATTTTTTTTCCTTGCAGCCTAGAGCACTATAGAGAATTAGTTAAAAACCAAACTTTTGTTGCTTATTCCTTATAATAGTTCTCAAGCAATACGACATTAAAAACCTAGAATAATATAAAAGTCATCCAGATAATATGTGGATAGTAAAAATCAATTTTTAACCATTTTAATATAACCAGCAGACGATCTACCTTCTCACCAGCAAAATTATTTTGTTTTTTTTTAATTTATATAATAATATAATGTTTATGTTTAAACATTTTTCTCGTACATTATTATTTTATAACAAGTTAATAATTATTATTTAGTGTATTATGATGGTATAGTACTCTGTGTTTCCCCTACAAGCTTGTTTTTTGGAGACATTATAATTTCATACATCATATTATTTATTTATTTAATTAATTAACACCAATCGGCAATTACAAAGTTGGTAATATATAAATTCAATAACATATACTTGATAAACATAATATATACACAGCTATATAAAATGGTAATAATAGTGTGGTAATAAAACTAAGATAAAAAATAGTTTTAGTATCCATGAAATAATATCCTATTTATCATATTGTTACATATTTTAATTTATGTATATTTGTGAAATGAAAATTCAATTAACTAATTATATTATTATTATTATATTCAATCAATATAAAAAATGAAAAGTCGCGTACCTAATAATACATTTTCGTACACTTACCTAATATTATATACTCGTAATTATACTGTTCAAACTTTCGCGGCATTTAGTGTTTATTTTGACATAACTCGTGTATATCATCGTATTCTTCCACAGAACCTTCCACTAAACCACCAGACAATAAAAATGAGCAGAATCGGCGGTGACCCGGCCGGCAGGATTCCTTAGGCGAAAAACCAGCGAACCTCCGAGTATGGGTAAGTTTTTGCCGGATCAGCTTCCGGTCACCATCGGAGTGGGGTTCGGCTTGTCGTCACATAATGCTCCCGATTATAACACAACGCCCGTGGACGAGTTGTATTGCATAGGAGGAAATTGAGCTTTAAATTTTTGGGGCAGTGGCGATGTACAATTTTTTTCAAGTAAATCCGCTAGCTCAGACACCCCCAGAATCGTATTCTAAAATATAGCGGATAGTGGTGACGAGAACTTATACACTTATACTCCTGCAAGCTCTTCCGCGTAGGTATCCCTCGCTCCCCGTGAGTTGTGGCCCGTGGGTTCATGTCTGCGTGCAATGCTCTGTCAGATTCACCTGGTGGAGAGGGAGAGGGAATCGACGGAGGGATGCTATTCACAACGACAGCAACAAATCATCCTGCCAACTGTACCGAGTCGCTTCACTCCGATCGACAGCAGCGACCGACTACGGCGACGGCGTGACGGTCGCGATGGCCTCGCTCCCGGCGCTAGTCTGCCGACAACTTCCCCAAAACTATTTCTGACTATGGATAATTCGTCATCGTCCTCTTCAAAGCTAACGACTGTTTGGACGACAATCGTAGAAGGCGAAGTCTCCGGTGATGCCGTTGCCGGGGCCGCGTTACCGTCGTGTACCAGCGTGGTATCCATGATGGCTGGCACCGGCGGTGCGCAGACAACCACTGACGTTTAAATCCGAGTAGTTTCTGTTGTTTCGGCGAGTGACACTATTTTCGTATCATAGTCCTAGTACTGTATATAGTTGTTGTATTTGCAAGTTCGCGATATGTTTTGTGAAATATGGTCTCGCAGTTTGCCTAATCGTAGACAACGCCTTCCTTTTTTCTTTTACTTATTGGGAGCGATCACGTTCGCCAAATCACGTGATACAGGATGTACGTTGGCTTTCTTAGGATATTTAATTTTTATTATGCGATGTATGACAATTTTTAAATAGTAATTTTCTACATGGGATAAGTTTGATAATGGGCCAACATTCACTCTTATATTTAAGCTAACAACACGAATCTCTGTTCTGTTGAACACAAATCTGCCAGTGTTGGCGTGTGCACGTGGAACAGAGAGAGGAAACATTTAATATATATTAAAGTGCAATGACATCCTCTTAGTAGTAAAACGTTTTAAAGGAGTTGATGATTTTAGAAAAACCCATTTACGATCAAAAGTGACAGGTGACAGGAACGATTCAACGCGGGATTATTAATCACCAATCTTGTATATTAGTTGTATTTCTTGCATGTGGTCTGCAACTGCCGTATAGGTATTATATTTTATTTATCTGTCGGACCGGAGGAAAAAAAATCAAAGAAAAACCCACAGCAAAAAAACTCTTACTTCTTACTTTTCACAACGTGTCCCGAAGTGTGTGGGTGTGTATATGTAGCGATTAGAATATTATGACGACCGCGGACGACTTAAAGGCTTATACGCTTTATTCTCTCCCAATAAATTTCGGTCGAGTAAAGCTGCTGTACAATTCAGGTTGTCGCTTCGGGCAGCAGCGCCAAAACTAGCCGCACGCGCCACTCTATACAAAATACACATTAACGCTCCGAAACTTTACACATTTTAACGTTTATCTGCAGCAGAGTAAGATTATTACCGTACCTACAAAAAATCCTCTTAAAAATAGATCCGTATGGACAAACGTCGCTTAGGCGGAGAGAACGCCGCTCACGCACAATATAATATATATATAGTATATACACTACAACAGTCTGAAGTTATATAGGTACACGCGGATGCACGTGTGCAGGATTGTTTCGTAGACGAAGCGGACCATTTGGTTGTCACTTTTTTTTTTTTTAAATCTTACAGTAATGAATTACGCTCGTGACATCCGAGGAACGGAATCTCGACCGACCGGCACGCTCGGCGCGCGTATAGGTAATTTATTTATATACTTACGCATATTGTGTCTTATAATTTGACACCCCCAAACGGGCAGAAACGCGCAGTCGTTGACGAACGCTTCTGCAGCTGTCACTGACTAGTCTATTACAATAATAATAATAATAGTGTATGTATAGAAAGAACCTCTAATATAGCAACAAAACTATAATGCGAGGTTGGGTAATTCGTGTAATAATCATGACGTATATACTATATATAGTTACATTATTATAAATAGATATTTTTCATGCTTTTTCACCACCGATACAGGTGCTCGATTGACGAACTAAGAAAACGCATGAACTCATTCGATGTTCCACTTTACTATGTAGACGCTTAATAATTATATAAGACATATTATAATGTAATGATAAACAATTACAAACAAGTGTGAATCTAATATCTATATTATTATTATATTCATATTATATTGTGGGGAGGTGTGTACATTCAGTTACGAAACCCATTCTGAGTGTACTGTTCGGTGTCACTATAGTTCTCCCGGATGGATGACCAACCGGAGTTTTTAGTGACAAATTTTTACCACACATATACACACGTGTTAAAAGTCTACAGTACCCTGAACCCTCCCACACAGTATTACCCCAGGCTAATAACCTCAGTTTTCGAAGCCTTAACTCCAGTAAACAAAATAAAAATAAAAATATTGCGATTAGTTTTTAATTTTCAACAACGGTATTTTATTGATTATTAATCATTATAGGTCCTCAAATTATAGGAAATACAATAAGTGTAAAGATGCATTATAAATTTAAAAATATAACATCCACTATGAAGTATGAATAGTTGCACATTAACGAAAAATCAGTAGGAAATTGCCATACATAGTTAATAGTTATATTATAATATAAGTTTTGTTTTCATATAACTCATAAGTTTTAACACTTACCCGTTTATTTTATAAACATGAACCTCTCTATTTTGAATAATTAAATTACGAGATATAAACTTCGACTTGTTAAATATATTGTGGGTGACTCCGTCTCCACTACCCTTCCCGATTCGCAAGCATTGATTATTATACATTAAGGATTTTTGTTACAACATATTTAACATAATATTTGTTTTTGAATGCTTAAAGCTGCGGGGGCACCACGCAGTGCAGATGTAGTGTACATGATTGTGCACTTTTTACCATTTTAATCTAAGAAAAAAGCTACGCGATAAAAGTCAAATCGTGTTGCCCCGGTTAAGAAAGTGGTTTTGACCTTTTAATGGGCGTAATATTGCCCGATATACCGTCCATCAATGCTTACAATGTTTCAGAGTGAAACCCACGATTATGAACGAATTATGGGTGATTTGTCTGAAGAACGCGTTGAACAAATTGTGCATTCGAAAATTGTGATATTATAGACTTTGTTGGGCTTATATAAATAAAATCCGGTTGGAAAAAAAAATCACCTGTTTTAAAAACATACATTTGTGTTTCAACCAAAGCTATGTCTATATTGTGTAATGCGTATTGATTGTAAATAGAACCAATCAGAATTCAGAGATTTAACTACCAGTTCATTTTTAGCAGCTTTAGGGGAGTTTTTGTCTCTTCAAGAAATATGTTGTAATATATTATATAAGACCTACAATACCGACAATGTGACGAACTTCGTCGGATAACTGACAGATTTAAAATAACTATTTATATCGTCTGACAAACAAAAAAATATTCAGGAATATCTATAATACCGAAGCTCATGTTGAATGTAACTTTATATCCGTTCATTCGCTCCTCTACGATGCATTTTGGGAGTCATCCCTCAAGTCTATAAAATCTCATCTTCACCAATAATTAGGTTGGTAGCACTTTGTTGACTTTCGAGGAACTTTCCATCGTTTCAACTCAAATCGAAGAGTATATATGAATTCTGGGCAATTATTCCCACTTCTCCTGGTTCTAACGACTTGTCCGTGTTGACTCCAGCATATGTGTAGTACAAAGTTCTCTTACTACCTAGTTTAACAGAATGTGACCTGATTCAAGTTGCTCCAAATCGTCTTCAGTGGTGGAAATAAGTTTTTTAGATAATTTTTTTTTTTTAGATTCCGTAGTCAAGAGATTTCAATTAGGTGATTTAGCTAACTTCAGTTTCAATATTATGGTACATGGCAAAAGAATCATCAGTCTGATATTGTGTTGGAAATTATAGTAATAATCAATAATGACGACCAATTCTTTCTGTCGTGGGAAGTTGGCTGAGTTACCAGCCAAGTAACGCCAGTGTACTTATAGTGGTCACTGTACTTGCAAAGGTCGACAAGTTACGTGGTCCGATACATGGGCCCTTGCCAGAATTAACGCTGTAGGAATTTAGAATCGTGTATATATTATTGAATTATTATCTAATTTATTCATTTAGTCATAATACATTATTAATTATTACTTTGATTTCATATTAATTATTGATGATTATATGTATGTAATATAAATTACAATTTTTCTTGATGCAAGCAGGTGGTGTATTTGGTGCGATACCTATTATAAGTCCAAATTGATAACCGTGTGGTGGCTGTCCATACAATTGTATATTGTTTGGTCGTGGAAGTTACGATCAGGCTGACCAAGTTATTACACTAAATAAAAAATGTTAATTATTTTATTTTTACAAAAAAATAATTCAGTTCTAAAATCACAATAATTGTATAGTATACCTACGTTACTTGTAAGATATATGTACCATAAATAAAAATACAGATACAAAACAAAGAGTAATATGCATCTGGCAGATTACGAGACATAATATTTCACGTTTGAGTCTTTTCCTAGGAAATTTATTGGAATTGTAGGAACTGAGATTTTTTTGCAAGTAGATTAGCGACGGGAGCTAGATACTTGTAGAAAGGTTTGTAAAAAGTCGGGGTTCTTCATTTTCAATTTGAGATTGGAATACATTGCAGTATAGTTAAAGACGTATGAGAGAGACATTAATTAATTTTCTTATAGCACAATATATTTGAAAGTTAGAATTTGGTCGATGTTTGATTATTTTGCATTTCCCCCATAGCTTATGGTATACAGATTGATTCGATTTATAAATAAGAAGCTTAGTGTTGAAGTGTGTGTATTTATTATTATAATTTATTAATAGGTACATTATTTAAGTAAAATAGTAAACGTAGGTGAGAATTTAAATTAATTAAATTATTCTAGGGGCCCACGTTAGTTTACGTCTAGCCCTAGTCGTGTTAGCCCTACATATTTGGCCGTGAATGAGTTTCGACTATTTGGTACTTAGCATAAGTAGAACATAGCATAAGAAAAATATCTAGTAGCATGCTACATTTTTCTAGGATTTAATATATTTTCGATTTCCGTTGCTGTGGCAAACGAAACCATACGAAAATATTGGTCTAGCAAGAATTGGTAAGAAAAAAGTTGTACCCACCCCAAAAACATATCTATGTTAAAAAAACACATAATATCATTTTAAAATACATTCATAATAAGTTTCGCAGTTCCGCTCATAATCTAAAATCAACATTATACCTATACTTACTGTAAGTTGGTACTTATAAATAATTTCTCATAGTATATTGCAACTATAATGTTTTTTGGTCTTTTTACTGAGTTTTGAACAACTTTCTCCGGAGAAATATTAATATCCCAATAAATATTCAGCGAGTCTATCTAATACGTTTTTGTACTTCAAAGAGAGGGCAACGATAATATTGCTGCATATGTGGTTTATATGGTTTATATGTTTATATGTCATTGATATGAGAAAAATATTTTCACACAACTCTTTAATATTTAGATAAAAT